CCGCCCTATTACTATATTGAACAAGCTAAGGAATTTGAAAAGTCATTGTATAATCTAATAATATATCCTTCCGTATCTAACTGCATCTCTTCAAATCAACATGGATTTATGGAAAGGAGATCTACTACCACAAACCTTTTAAGTATTAGGCAGTATTTATCGATCAGTATGGTCAGGTAGATTGTGGTTTATACGAACTTTCAAATGCATTTAACCCCATTGATCATAAAATTTTACTAAATAAGTTAAATGCAGTTGGATTTAGTGCATCACTGCAAAATTATTTCATTTCTTTCTTGAGTAATAGGGTTCAATATGTTGCTTACAGCGGTTATAGATCTAATGAATTTTTGGCAGTGTCGGGAGTACCGCAGGGCTCTAATTTAGGTCCACTTCTGTTTTTGCTCTTTATTGAACTTTATTGAACTTGTGTTCTATTGTTGATTGTCACTGTTTGATGTTTGCTAATGATCTTAAAGTTTACTAAAATTGAGACCGTATCTGACTGCATTATCACTCAGAATCAGTTGAATAGAATTGAACATTGATGATAGATTAATCTATCAATCTAATCTCAGTATGAATGTATCAAGTGTAAGGTTATGACCTATACGAGCAAACAAGCGTTTGTGTCTTTTTGTTATGTGTTTAATTCACGCATTTTACAGCGATGTGAAATCATTAAAGACTTAGGGATCACCTTCGATAGGAAGCTGACATTTTCAGTTTACATTGAAAATATATAATCGTCAGCAAGTAGAATGCCTGGATTTATCATCAGAAACTGTAGATATTTATTTTTATTCTTTGAGACATAAAATGTATAAGAAACGTCATAACTGTTACAAACAAGTTGTTAAAAAAGAAATTACATTTTAACAAATATTTGAACACACGTAATATATAAAAAACATAAAATATATAAAAAAGAGTAAATAAACGTTACAAGTAATGTTTGATTAAGTATAAAAGATTGCGGTACTTTATAAGCACTTTTCAATAAGATACAATTTTAGATTGAATTTAAAAGCATTTACACTTTTAATATTTTTTATATTTTCTGGAAGATTAATGAACACTTTGGCACCAATCCGGCTTGGAGCTTTAAAAGTAATATTTACTCTAGAGTAAGGGATACTCAAATCATTCTTTATTCTAGTATTTATGTTATCAAGTCCGAGATAACGGCTTCACATTTGCGTTTAAGGTTAATTTCACATTTGTCAGAAATTACAAGATATGTATCGTCCGCATAAAGAGCAAAATATGCCTCACCGGACAATTCAACATTATTGTTAATATATAACAGAAAAAGGACTGGGCCCAAAACTGAGCCCTGTGGAACGCTCATCCCAATAGGGCACTCACCATCATCTATGAACTCAATCAGCTGATCTATAAAATTGAATAGCAGCAGAAGTAGATTTTTTTGAGCGGAAACCATGTTGATGATCTACAAAGCTCTCACTTTTACAACTTTTATTAAAAAAGTTTTGAAAAATACAGAATGTTATTATTATTACTTTTTTAGCAGCTTACAGAGAAGAAATATTTACGTTATTTACTTTATTTTTTATTAATATCTCTCACAGTCGTCCTCAAAAGCGAATTCTCCCACAAACAAAATTATAAATTAGTGTTGAATTTAACTTTCACTTTTTCAACTGATTTTAAATTATTAATTTTGAATTTCTGGTATATACTTTTTTACGTTAAAAACAACTATTTTTCCTAACCTCTAGCTAAAAGTATTTTAAATATTTACAAATGCTTATTGATTCTTATTTAATTCACTGTTATAAGCCTCTAGTATGGGTTCCTTTTAAATTGTTTCCTTTCAGTTTTCTTTGAGCTACCCGGTATCTTGATTCGCGTTGTATTTATTTGTGCCACTTAGTAGATTCTTTTTTCTTCAGTACCTACTGGCTAGACGACGATATTAGATGTAATGGGAACTGCCTAAGAATTTTTGAAAACTTCAAATCTTAATTTGACTTTTAACAGTTATCCTTGGAGATATTATATTTTTGTTTTTTTTTTTGGTAACTTTCTTGATTGATTTGAAATTTTGTAGACCTCCCTGGGTTGCAATAGGCATATTCTGGTAAAATATGTCTGTTTAATATTTTTGTATTTGGTTCACTTAACTTTGGTTATAACATCACTACTTTGACGTTTTCTTTGTTTTGTTTTTACAATTTTGCCAAGTTAAACTACTTAAAATGTATATAATAGATCGTAAGTTTTTTCAAAATATTGTAATGGTTAGATGAGAATGTTGGATTTATAATAGTCGAAAAGGTACGATGTCATTATTCCAAACTGGCAAAGTTTATACGAAATTTACGGCTGAAAATTTACGCTGTGGTCAATGGCTGACACAGAGTATAAGTTGAAGTGTAAATGGTAATTCCTCACTTTATTATCTGAACATAAATAGAACAAAATAAGGGCGCTCCAAAGAAAACCATTATTTACATTAATGCGCTCAACCTGAGGTTGATAGAGGAACACGTATCTGCCCGGGTGTTAAGCAGAAATTTATATGCATGATATACTGCTAATAGTTAACACAGGGGAAGGTACCTCTTTTTGTTCAATAAAGTTCACCTCGTGCTGATGTCATCTCCAGAATTAACAGTTTGTATATAATAACTCACACAGCGCAGGATTCCCGAAATAACGATTAACCCTAATTTACGGAAAATTAATTTCCTGCAAATCTACGTGAAGGTTACGAATTTGGTATGGCATACATATATTACAACAGAGGTTAAATGGCATAGTCCTACTTTCACCATTTATTTATGTAGATTCTAAATAACATCGTAACCTATATTTCTATACTAAACTACATCAATATTATACTCATATTAAAATAGTTTTGTATTATTGATTCATTATTATGTATTAAGTGAAAGGATATCCGAAAAAATCGGCACACTTAGTACATGTAACCCTTAAATCTGTAATGTAATTTTAAAACCAAGTTAGTTAAGGGAATAGCTGTCGAATATAGGACATAACCGAAATGCTTAGCCAAACTGTAATGGCCTCACAAATTTGCAGAAAAGCTCTACATGCTGACAAATTTTGAAAGAACTAGGCATCTTTGGATGATTAACGCAGGCCACTAGGGTTTCTGGTCGAGACTTCTCGAAGCGAGAATTCCCGAGAAATCTGGCCTTACTCGAGACGAGAAAAAAGTGTCGAGAAATCGAGAAATTTAAAAATCACACGCGTCTTAAGTTCTTGACTGGAGTTCGTTTCGTTCATGCGTTCAATTCGTTTCTCGACAAATAACTGAACGGTTAAAGTGGTTTCTCTATCAGCTCATGATTTATTTATTTTAAGTGTTTAAGGCTTTAGTTTACTTTGATGATTCTTTCTTTTTAATGTACAGGGTGATTTACTATATTTTGACCCCTCCTTTAACTTTTTTGTTTTAAGAGTTATAAAAAAATGTGAAATATAAAAGTTGCACCATTTTTTATGAAGTTTTCGAAAATGATAGTAGAAAAACAAATGAAGTTCAAACAAAATGGCCGCGGATGTTAACTTTGTTAATTTAAGTGGAACACCCTGTATATTTTTACATATTTGGATAGAACGTTTCTTGCCGAGCATAGTCATATAGGGTTTGTTGGATCCATCTCTAATAATAGGCGAGATAATATTAAAAAACTAACTTTTGAAATACCCTGTATAACATAATTAAACCCCATATAAGCATGGTAGAGATGAGCTTAATCTAAATTTGAAATAATATATAGGGTGTCCCATTTAAAAAATAGTGTGTTTGGTTCACCCTGGTAATACATAACACCCTATATATACGAACATTTTAAAATGTGCAGTTTTAAGTTGGCAACAATTTTTGTAAATAACTTTTTTTGATGTCTTCTACAATAAAGGAGATATCGTAGGTACTTCGACGCACTAATGCCACACCCTGTATATACATTTGCTTTGATAGTTTGCACAATATCCTGATTTACTGAGTGATCTTGCACATAGTCAAGTTTGTCATGGAACCAGTACGTGGATATATTCTCTGGTGTTAGATTTAAATCCTATTAACAAATCTTTAAATTGGAAAAATATCATAATAAGATATTTTATAATACCTTCATTCTGTTGCAAAGTGAGACATATTCTAAACAAGTTTTTTGTAATAATTAACATCATTGTTAATAATAACTTCGTTTATATTTTCTAACACAAGTCATATTTAAATTATTAGATCGTTTTTTTTGTTTACTTTATCTTCAATTGAGTATTGATCTTTTTTTAATGAAATACGTATTTCAATTTCAGTGCAACGTCTAAACATAAAATGAATCCTTTATTAATTCACTTTGAACTAACTAATATTTTATAAACCCAGGACATCCTAATAAAGTGATAAATCCTGATAAAGTGTTCTGAGGGGATGTATAAAAATATGCAGCAAATTCTTAAGAAAAAAAATCAATGTTATTTTCCATATCCCTGGAAAGCATCTCTCAACTGTATTTTAAGAAACAATTTCCCACTGAAAAATTAGTATATAAATTTCATTTTACATTTCCAACGTCGTCAAAGACAAACAAGTTTCAATAGTACTCGTATATAATATTTTTGAGTGATGTTCTTGTACATGTGATAGATTTTCGGTGTATAGATTATACTATGTTATATTTTCGTAGCTCAGTTAATTAAATGTATGTAGGACCTATATAAAATGCTGATATGCTGTATGTTATTTTGGATACCTAATTACTTGGTACTTGTGTGATACATCGATAAATATGATATGAAACATAATATCTCTGGGATAGTATTATTCGCAAGCGCAAAACTAGGAAATGGCGCCAGTCGTCACGGCGCCAGTTTGCAAGCTGTTGTCTGGGAGATTCTGATAATAATGTCGTAGTGTGTTAGGTTGCTTTACTTATGTAGTGAAATGATGTTTACCAGCTTTATTTAGGACTTTACGGGACTCAAGGTAATGTGAAACATTTATTACAATTATTACAAAAAACTTGTTTAATAGTAAATAATCATATTTTATTATTAGCTTCGGCATTTTTTACGCTGTTTTGAAGGTGTTAAGGTCATTCAAACAAATTCATTTGATAAGATTTATTTATTTTTTAATTTATTTTAGTTAACCTATAAAATAGAGTAAAAAGTTACCTGACGTTAATTTATATCAGCCCTAAATATTAATAGTACGGTAAATAATTGATAAATAAAAAAATTCCGTCTTGTTCTCTAAATCGGTAAAACCGATTGAGCGTCAAAAGGTTGAAATTACACAGTTGCATTCAGTTCAGTTAGTGTCAAAATACATTCACTAAACAAGGTCAAACATTTTTATTTTATCACTCTTGTAATCTGTAACATGTTTTAATTGTTTTATAATTTCTCTTAACGTGTAAGATTTTGTAAGTCTGACTACAGATATGATTTAAAATATACTACCGCTCAGTCGAAATATGTCGAAATATTCGACTTGAAATGTTGAGATGAGTTGAAAGGTGTATATTTTCGAAATTATCCTACAGATGTCACTGTTTCTTGCCGCATTGATAGAGTTTCAAAGTGGTACAGAACCTTCATAAATGATTACAAGCCATGTGACCATTTATTTTATTTGTAACAGTAATTTTATTTCCTTCACGTTGGCAAATAAATTTCAGTAAAATTAAAATAATAAGATCAGTATTAAAAGAAAACACAATATTCTGTTTCATCGGCTGTGATTGGTGGAATTTTTCACGAGATTCTATTCAACGATTCTATTCAACCAATCAGCGATCGCAATATCACGAGCGTAGATGTAACTGTTTGTCATTGTTCATTTCAAACGAGTCATGACGTCATGATTTAGGGAATTTGCCAGTACCAATCGTGCATTCTTGGGTTGCCTACGCGAGACGATCACGTGGCTTGTAAACATTTAGGAAAGCTCTGTACATACACAATAAATTTCAAAAATCTACTTTTATACAAACTATTCAGTATTTTTAATCAATTTTACCTTACACCTTATATTTTCTATGCTTACTTACTAATCAATATTCCTGCTAGTATTAGGAGACTATTTTGTAAATAACTTGTAGGTATTTGGAGTCATTGTTTATCTCTATCAATTCTATTTTAGGCATATTCCGTTGATGGAAAATTATTTCCTTGTTTTTTTCGTACACCACCGACAAACAATAGGGGTGAAGTACGCAACGAGTGAGACCGATGTTGAACAACAAACGTAGCCTGTGTCAGCTGTTGAAACCTATTATGCAATATGGCAGTTATGTACACACACTCCGTCTTCCTGCGGTTCCTGCTTATATTCGTCCTGCTAGATGTCACCAGAGGGATTGTGAGCTCTGTGAAGGGACGCTTCCGCGGGAAAGATTTTCCAGGTAAGAGCAGTCTTGTATAAACATGTTTGTTTGCGTTATTTCTGCGGGCTAGTTTAAAGGAAAGTGAGTGAATTTGGAGCTTGTTTACTTATTTCTTGTTTTCTTAAGTAATAATATTTTTGCCTTTCGGTAAATTCAATTCATCGTCCCCATTTTTGCTTTGAACATTAAATAAAGGATACCGATCTGCAACTTAATGATTTAGTCATTATAACATATTCATAGCTACAAAGAAGTATACAATGAATTTTGTATAACAATACATCTTTCAAATATATATATTATGTTATTAGCCCTCACAGATTCAAACAAATTCAGGAAAATAATTTTGTTTTAATTAAATGAAGTTAAACAATGTTCTTTGACACCAGACCTCTATGTAGGTATGCAAGAGCTATACAACTCATTAAACAGTCAGTAACAAAGAATAATTATTCAAAATAAATTTAAAAATTAAATGTTTAAAGAACTATTACAAAAAAAACACTTACCTGATATGTTTACATTCTCAAATAATGCAATCATCCAGAGAAACATCCTATATTCTTGCCTTTGCTTTTGACAAAGTTTGATCACGTAAAAAACAGCTACTACAAAGAGGTATATTTGTTTCCTCATTTTACTTGGGATTATTTCATCAGACAGATTATGTTCTAATTACATACAGAAACATAAAACAGAAAACAGAAAAACTTTCTTTGAATATTAAATACTATATTTAATATGCAGACATTTATTATTGAACAATGCATTAAATTACCGAATTTATACAAAGTATCCAATATTTTATTGTATTTAGTATTTTATGTTCGATCTCTAAAACAAATAAATCATCACGAAAAACCATAATAACTTATTATATTTTTGAATTCAAGCTTCAGTTCTTCTTGATAATCCGTAGTTTTCCCCACTTTTGTCCACTTACAACTGAATCTCCTGAACCCCCACAAAACCTTATTGTATTGTTTACAAGAAAAATTAAATTGATCAGTTTGGGATCTCTCAAATTGTTGGATTGTCTTGGATAAGATTAATTGAAACTGCCTTGTGTCAACGTATACGTGGAAATTTATTATGGTCGTCAGATCTACTATCACGTACCTTATAGGTCTATAGTTAGATACTCTAAAAAGCCTTCAAAGAACAACCAAATGATTAATAGAGCATCTGACGGAAACTGGAATAATTACCTCGCTTGCTCCTCTGGAAATCTTCCTGGATTTACCACATCTCCATATAAGGTTGTAGTGAAAAGTTATATGGGTAGTATATAGACTAAAACAAATGGCTATTGATATGTTACAGGCTGATTCCATGGGGCCATAATAAGTTACCGAAATCTGACAAAATTAGTAACTACCATTAAATATTCACCTTCCTGGGAGGAAATAATGGCATAAAACTAACTTTTTAAGGGCAGATGGCTATTGTCATAAAGGCGGCTGGAAAACTCCAGAGTTTTGTTACTAGTTGCAATCCGAAGACTAGGCAAGCCTTGAAACCCATACAACTTTTCTCCAGGCTGAAATCTATACCAATGAGTTATTACATATGAGGCTCTGAAACCTCTTGAATGTTTCCGGTGTAATTCAAGAACGCCATAAAATTGTCATACCTGTAAAGCCATGACGCGATAAGAAAATCACAGAATAACATTGGTTTTGATATTTGGTCATTCGGACCTCCAGGAAAATAAACAGACAGACTTTCCTAAGAAAGGAAAGTGCTGCCTCGAACTTTATTGGACCAAAACCATCTCTTGTGCAGCTTTGGCGATTGACTAAACAGCGATCCTAATTTGGACCGGAAAAAAGACACAATTTAGGCTTGGTAGAAGTGATGACTGCCGTCTGTATTTAGATAGTGAGGAAGCAGTAAAATACATGTTATGTGGAACGGATCAGGTTCTCTATATTCAGTACTGAACAGAACAGAACAAAACAGCTCGAAAATATTGACAGAACAGGCTTTGAGATATAAATTATAAGTAACTACAATTGACCATAAGGTTGCAATGAATAGTTAATTTTTAGCCCATTCACAATTGAGCAAATTAAATCAGTCAATTTGTCTTCTCTAGTGTTTTTTAGATTACAGTTTCACCTTTGTAGATGAACCAAATTATAACCATTATTTCCTTAATTAAATATTACTTTCATTTATTTGCATTTTCATAACAGGTATAACATTCTATAATTACCTGTGTAAGATTCTCAATAAAAAGAAAAATCTTTGTGGAGCATTCCAGATGGGGCTTCTGTCCTATACTTTCGTAATTGAAAATCCTTTTAATGTACACCACATACATCGATAAATATTGTTAACTATTACTTTCCAATGTGCTGTTATATATGTTTTCAACTAATCAACTTTGCAGTTAATGTTGGTAATAATTCAGTATTAAAACAGGTTAATATCGTCGCAACAGAAGCATTCAGTGCACATATAATAGAACGTTCAAATATATTTTACGCCTGTTGTGTACGTATAGGGAACAATTTCAAACACATTTTACAAACATTAAACTAGTTCTGTTATTGCGAATTCAATTTGTAGGAATGTTAAGCTCCATATTAAGAGCATTCTCTAAAACCGCTTAGATCTGTATGTAAATGGGATATATGTATAGGAATATTGTATTATTAATTTAAATATAACTGCTGGTTTCATTAGTTTTGCATAAATCTAAATAACGCAACTAATACGAGGTGTGGAAACAAAAGGAAAAGCGTTTGCCATAATTTTAAGGTTATGGACTTTCTAAACAACCAAAATAATAAACTCTGTGTTGTAGTTGGCATAACCAACAATCTCATGTTTTTAGACTATTGCTTTTAACCAAATGCTCAAGTAGATGCTGCTATTTAGGTTCAGTTTCCCTTGATAAAATTGTCCTATATACCTTTGCACGAACTAAATATAACTTTATAAGTTTGTCCCTTAAAATTATTGCCCTATTTAAACGCAGGACGTGGCAACAGCGTCTGTAGAGGTCTTCTTTCAGGTCCTCCTACCCTCCTTCGCTGCTTTCGCTGTCAGGTATGACAAATACCTCACTATAGAAATCTCAACACTTTTAATTATATCTGGTTAAAATGCGTCGGCGTGGCCATAAATTTTATAATTTTCAGAGCACCTCTACAAATTACCTGGCTAATTAATAGCAGGCTTGGCTGTTAATCCTCTGAATTTAATTTAAAAACGCGTTTCGATAGATTTAACAGAGATTAAACTTAATTCGATGGATTGGAAGCAATTGGGCACTACATCTACAAGTAATGAAGTTGATGTAGAACGGCGTTGAGAGCGATTAAGCTAAGTAAAAAGTATCGCTCTTTGTTGTGTCCTGAAAAAAGAAATAATTACGTTCTCCTGCAGCCATTAGTATTGCGATTAAAGCATTTTATGGAATTCGATGGCGAATTAATTCTTGTTTAGATTTATGGGTTAATTTAGAACCGTATTTAAATATTCTCGATTAAGTCCAGAAAAACAATAATTAATTTATTTTTAGATTTTATCCAAATTGTTTCAAGATTAAAATCCCATTTCTTAAAACACGTACTACTATTACTATTTTAATATACAGAAATTTAAATATTTCCTGAAAACTCTTATGTTTTTGATACCAAATTTCCAAGTAACGTCCCAAACAAGCTAGTTGGTAATTATACAATATAATAATATAAATGTGATACGTTGCATTCATAAAATAATGAAATGATATTGCAAACTTTCAAATGAACTTTTCATTATTTCACGTATCAAGAATATTTACCTTTTGTAGAATTTACTTCTTTTTTTAATTTTTAGTCTGTCATATTTTATTGTTTGCTCATATTTTTCTACTTCCTTCCATATAATATTTTAAATCATTCCTCTGAGATTCTTCGTTTTTGTGAAGCTTTATTTCTGAATTCCTAAAGCATTTATTTTTCTTTATAAGGAAAGCTTTCAATATATTTCTCCCCATGTTTCGTTTTTTAAATCTTATTTTCATATTTTACTCTTCTTTATGCATTTTTTGTCCTTCTCAATCTTTATCTGGACACACAGTTGATTCGAGGATATTGAAATAATATTATATCTAATGTGACCTAGATATGGATATTTTTATATCAGATATGTTTGAGAATTTATAAGAAGAAAGTACAACGGAATAAAAAAGTGGTTCAATTAATTTCGAACAAAGATAACAATAATTTACTGTTTATATCGTTTAGTATGTATTTATACAAAACTATAATTTATACTAAGATTCAACTGATCTATACAAGTTATTCCTGACCAAAGAAAGCTATAAATTGGAAAGAGTCTTAATTGAACATTAATGATGTTTGTTGATGTATGGGGTCTAAGGGGTTGCTCTCATAGAGCTGATTGGTGTGGCGAAGGTTTGTCCCAGTCAGCTGACGAATAACTTGATTGAGGACATTTATCACAAATAAAAATGTTCGTATGTGCTAGCATTAATCAATCATATGTCCTGGTGATAGAAGAATATAGCTATACTATTTATATAAGCGCTGAATTGTTACCATTATAATGGGTGTCCCAAAATTGACGCCCGTTCTTCTGGGATTTGATTAAGGAGATAAAACGAATTGAAAATCAAGTGTGGACAATTTTCCGATTGTTTTTTTTTGATGAGTTATTCAAAAAACTAAAAAAGTGATAATCCATTTTTTTTTCTCAATCTGAGATCTGTGCTTATGAGGACCTAGACCATTTATAACCAATAGTTGGTAAGTATAGTTTCCGATTGTTGGTTGTACCTGGGTGTAAGGAATTATTTTAACCTGAAAAGAATAAAGAAAAACATTTTAATAATAACACATTTTACAAAAGGTATTCAATTAAGTTGTCTTCTACTTCAAGACCAAAATTAGCACGATTCAACATTGAAACATGAACCCTTTGTAGCATCTCGTGGTCTATTAACGCGACAGCAGGGTGTATATGGGCTACTACATTTTCTGGATTTACAACATGTTCGCTGT